GCTCAAGTTAAAGTTAGTAAAACCCTTGCAACACATCCTGCAGTACATGGTGCCTACATTATTGGGCTTTGCTTATTGGTTTGCCACAGATCTGCTGTTGCTATTAGACAATGTTTAAAATGTGCTGGGTAGTTCTGTCTTCTAGAATATAAAACCACCCATAAACATGTCTAACTGAGGCTTCCCAGTAGTGTTAAATTTACTAAACTTTATTTCCTTTAAGGCTTAAATGCTCATCCAATCACTTACTGTAAGCTCCAGCTTATAAGTGTCAAACATTATAAAAACATCTGAGATCAACGGCGTAGAATCTTCGACTTCAGACTTGAGGGCTCATTTAATGGTAAAGTGATTTGGGACCACAGTTTACTTTTGTGTTCATAAATGTAGCTGTTATATAATGTAAAAGACCATGTGACTGCAGTTTTAATAGAAATTAAGGTTTCCAAGGAGAAGGAGACAGGAAGTCATTTTTATAAACTACTGGTTGTATTTTCAGTCACTACTTTGCACACAAAGAAAAATGATTACCCCTAGAATCACACGTAGCACAAATTCTTGTTAAAGGGAATACCCAATTTAAGCAGCGTTAAGCAATTTTAGCTAATTCCTATCAAATTCTGCAAGAGTAAACCATGCTATTTTGTACATGTAGGTTTTCAGACTGTTTCCCAGCAGCCATCTGACTGGCCTGAAAGGAGCATCCTTCACAACATAGAGAACCTACAGAGGAGACGACAGAAGAGAAGGTAAATGGGATTTACTCTGGGTGGTGTCTTTCTTTAGTCAATTCTGCCCTCCGTCTTAACTGTTAATGCTGTATATCAAATCTGGTCTATTTTCTGTGTCTACTGCAGATTGGGTCTGTTAGGTCCGGCCTCCAGTGACTGCCTGCTGGGTCCTAAAGACATTCAAAAGGGCTCCTCTGCTTTACTAGATGCCAAAGAACTTTTAAGACACTTCACATCTGATGGACACCCTACTGGGGAGCTACAACCACTGGCTATCAATAGAGGGTAGGTTCAGCCATCTTTTCTGGAACTTAGGCAGACGTAAAGAGTGACACATAGATAGTGCCAGTCGTATGGATAGACAAATGACTCAGTGGTGAAATATATTTCCATATTTGCCAATGAACAGACACAAACTGTAATACAGTCTGTGTGATTTATGAGTTTGATGGTTCTGAATAACAAGATGAGGCCATAATGAGGATTTGATTATGATAATTGATGTATAACAGTGAGCTTACAACCATCTGAGGAGTCATCCAGTAGTTGTAATAAATCTGTCAGACCAAATTCTGTGTTTTAATTAGCAGAATGAGTTTGTCATTTAATGAAGAGACTGAACTATCGATTTTGCTCCTTCTCTTTCTTTCCGTCACTCACCCCTATTTGTCTATCTTCCCACGCTGTCTTCTTCAGTAATAATGTGTTCCAGTTGTCATCAGACCTCTCTCCAGGCAGAGTCAGCCAGATGCCCTTCAGCAAGGCTTCAGCCTCACATTACCATGGCATAGAGTAAGTCTCCATAAAGTGTATAGCAACTGTTCAGCTGCACTCACCTAGATTTTACAGTACGGGCAGCTATGAAACATTTATCATGATTAGTAGAAGCTCAGGCTGTAACTACAGTTAAAGCCACATCATTAGTTAAAAACTGTAATAATAATAATTTCATTTGATCATCTAGGTTCTGCCTGGACAGTCAGCGGTCTTTGGAACGGGACCAGGCCTTTGTGCGTCTCCAGTCCCGTCTGATTCGCCATGAGACCCAAACCACCTGCACCAAAGAGCCCTGTGCCCTTCCCTTTGCCATCAGCCCCGCCCCCTCCCCTGCTGTGATGTCAGAACCAGGAAGTGTGCCTGACGGAGAGACTCTGCAGAACGTGGATGTAGCACGACTCAAGCGAAGGTCCAGGGACACAGATGTTATCGGAGGTTATCCTTGTAAAAGGTGTTTTTATATTTGAGTCTCTCTTCTGTATTTCTGTATGTTTAACATAATTTGGAAGAACTTATTGCTGTTAAAAAAACGGGAAAAATATTCAAAATTCTTTCTACTAGCAAGCAGCAAGATAGCGGATGAATGCTTGATTGATTGGATCTTGCCTTTGTGGTTTATATGAAATGCCATCACTTTACTGGTGGTTATTTTCACTATGTTTCTGTTCCTGCTTATCTGGATTATCCAGGCTGGTGAAGTCAGAGAGCAGTGACTCTCTCTGTTCTCAGAGCAGCAGCAGCAGTGGTACACGCCCCACTTTGAGGTCTCTGAGACAACAGCCGGGCAGATCCCAGTCCACCTCGTCCTTCACTGGCTCTTCTTCCTCTTCAGCTGCAAGACACACATCCTCGGGTAAAACAAACACTCAACCTTACATGGAAAGGGACTAAAAGTTCCTCTTCTTTCTTCTTCTCCATCTTGTAATAAACACTGACTGTATATAAAAGATGGACAAACCTACCGTGACATCACCCATTGCTTTTCTGAAGAGCAGTTTTGGAGCTCAAGCCTATCTACTGCCATATTGGTAGTGCTACACCCCACCTGCTACAGCTAATCCAAACATGGGCAAAGAGGTGGAGTGTGAGTGGAGCTGAGGTGGGCTGAATGAAGCTGGCCACCAATGACAGGACCCTCCTGTCTGTCACTCAAAGCAGCCATGCCCTTGAATCTGCATAACTTTAGCCTCAGTATAATTTAAACAGGCGAGTTATAAAACAAAATTTACACCCAATATCATTATCATGAAGAGAAATTAGCTATAGAGACCAAAACTGGTTTTTGTATCAGGCTGTAAACTTGTTTAACTCTGCTGTAAAGTTGGGCAGTTTTTCATGGACATCTGGGTATTGACTGTCTTCTGGAACCAGCCTCAAGTGGCCATTTGAGGAACTGCAGGTTTAAACACTACTGGCTTCGGTTCTCAGCCTCGGAGGTTGCCGCTTGATAATAAATCATATCGTCATGCATGGTTTTAATGATAGGACTATGTAAGAAATGCCATTAAATATATAGTGAAAAAATAAAGCTCATCTTTAGATGTTTTGAGCCAGACCTCACCATTAGTGTCCTACATGCCAGGCAATGTCAGCTGACACATACCTTGACATTAAGGGAACTACAAAATCAGCACCTGGATAATAGAGCAGTGGCGATATTCAGTACAGTACAACGGTCCCAGTACTCCTTCAGACACTTAGATGGATGACTACTTAAATGACAACTAGTCTGTCCCTGATCGTGCACCTACAGTACTTTATATGGTTATATTATTACCTTTTATCTTAATGAATATAATGTAACTTAATTCATGTTTACAGATAAGGGACGAGATGGTAAGTTAAGACAGTCAGTGATTAGGTCATGCAAATCACGACGAGATTTATCCCAACACCTCTGAACTCTTCTCTTACACAGTTACATTATCTTCTTCTTCTCTTGACTGTTCCCATTAGGGGGCGTCACAGTGACTCATCCGTTTCCACCTAACTCTATCCTCTACTCTCGCCCCAATTAACTTCATGTCCTCTTTTAGCACATCCATATATCTGCTCTTTGGCCTTCCTCTTTACCTCTTGCCTGACAGCTCCATCTCCAACATCCTTCTACCAATATAACCACTATCCCTCCTCTGCACATGTCCAAACCATCTCAGTCTGGCCTCTCTGACCTTGAGTCTACCTGCGTACTCCTACCTCCACTCTTATATGTAACTCTATGTTCCTCCCTCTTCTGGAAATAGGTGTTAACTACAGCCATTTCCATCCTCTTAGCAAAGTCCACCACCATCTGTCCTTCTAGGTTCCTTCCCTTGACACCAAACCTGCCCATCACCTCCTCATCACCTTTGTTCCCCTCACCAATGTGCCCGTTGAAGTCTGCCTTACCCCTTCAATTTCCAACTTCAAAATGATCACCCTGTCTAACACTCTTTTCACCTCTAAAACATTCCTCACGAGCTCCTCCTTCAGGATCACTCCTACCCCATTTCTCTTCCTGTCCACACCATAATAAAACAGTTTGTATCCCCCTCCAATGCTATGCGCTTTCCTACCCTTCCACCTGGTCTCCTGAACACACAGTATATCTACCTTCCTTCTCTCCATCATGTCCGCCAGCTCTCTACCTTTCCCTGTTATTGTGCCAGTGTTAAGAGTCCCTATTCTCAGACCTATACTCCTGCTTTTCCTCTTCTCTCTCTGTCTACGAATCCTTCTACCTCCTCCCCTTCTTCGACCAACAGTAGTCCAATTTCCGCCAGCACCCTGTAGGTCAACAGCACTGGTGGCGGTCGTTGTTAACCCGTGCCTCGACCGATCCGGTATGGAATTCACACTGATGATTCGCATGTTTAAATTTGGCATGTTTTTACGCTGGATGCCCTTCCTGACGCAACCCTGTCTATTTATCCGGGCTTGGGACCGACACAGAAGTCACTGGCTTGCAACCCCTGTGGCTAGATTCTTACACAGTTACATATATAAAAATATCAAACAGAGGTATAATTAACTTTGAAGGGTTAAATGTTCTTCTGAAATGTGTTTATAACATTCAGATGCAACCAGTTAAGTTATGCAGTTATCACAAGCAAATCTTGTCAGAGAGGATTTGCAAACAGTTTCACATTGAATAATGTAAAAGCACCACTGTAAATAGTAAAATTTACGATGACTGAATTCCATTCAGCTGCTTCAGTTTCAGGGTCCTGGGACTGTGCCTGCTCATTCACTGTCACACTGTCTCGGCTTACTGGGACACTTGACCAGAACAGAGCCACCTGTACGTGGCCTACTATGACAAGTCCAAATGCTGACTGTGACGGCAGCCTCTTACAGTTTTACTGCAAGGCCCTGGAGAGTGTGGGGCTGAAAAGTGTGAAGATTTAAAGGCCCTGCACACTCACACAGGTGTTTGGAGGTACTCTGGCTGTTTAGACCTCTGCTTAGGTTGATGTTGAGCAGAGCTATACTGTTAATTGTATAAGGTCATCAAACACTGATGTCTAATTAGGTACATTAAATGAAAACACCTGTGTGGCTTGGCTTGTATGGGCTTTACCAAATTACAGTAGTAGAACTGCACTATAGTTTGTTTTAATCACATACACTTAATATAACTGTTTTGTTATGGATTTACTGCCTTAATTTTATGTTATATGTAGGGTTTGTATTGTCATGATTGCAATGCCTCTTTGTTAACTTACCTGATGTTCCTGCCCCAGGTTTGGTGACACTCCCCTCTGCTGAAAAACCTAAACCCCAGCAGCAGAAGACGCTTTGTGACCAACAAGAGGAGAAACCTGCCAAAGAGTCACGCTCCCAGAAACACAACAGGGTGAGTGGCTGTTCATTTTGAGACAGATAGTAACTTAATGTATTTATTTAACATACAAGAATTATGAAAACACTTTGCTTTACAAATGGTGGAAAAAAATTAAAGAACAACTCAGATTAAATGTAACCACAGAAATAAGTTCTCATGCCAGCATGTCCAGCTATTTTGCATTTCAAGTACGCTGCCATTCACACAGAGTTTTACAGGGAGTATAAAGCGCATCAAGCTTGTACTGTTGTCAGCAGCAGTAAATTATATTCTAGGAGCAATTTTCAGTGCAGCGAAGAATGAGCTAGGCTAAGTTTACTTGGAGGAAAACCACAGTTTATGACAACTTTTATTTTCATTGCTCTGGCCATCACTTTTATGCAGTGAGTTCAGAAAGTATTCAGACTCCTTTGCTGTTTTATTTGTCTATCAGTCTGCACCCAATAACCAATAATGACAAAGTAAAAACAGGTTTTTACAAACTTTCGCAAACATAAATGGAAATCTCTCTTTTACAGCAGTATGCAGACACTGTTACTGTCCCTCCAAAGTGTGGCCCGGTGTGTTCTGTTTGGATTAGTAATTTTTGAGATGTGTCTGAATCTTTACTGGAGTCCACCTCTGGCAAAGGGACATGGATTGGACTGCATATTCCTGTATGATCTAGACCCAGACCTGAGAAGCTTATACTATATAATGTCCAAACTCAACCTGAGCCCAACACAGTTCAGTTTGTACGGTGTTTCCCCCCCTTATCATTAAAATAAGCAGACAGGGGTCCCTGATGGACTAGCAGCTAGGATTCAGCTTTGTCACTGCTGCGGCCCGAGTTCGATTCAGGGTTGCCTCAGGAAAGGCATCCGATGTAAAACACATGCCAAATTTCAACATGTGAATCCTTAGTGTGACGATTCGCTGTAACCCCTAACGGGAACAGCCCTCAGGTGACAGACAGATTAAACTAAGCAGACATTTGAGTGTTCCAGCCGTCTAGGCTAAAGTTGGACCTATGTGTCTGAGCCCGACCCAGACCTGAACATAGTTTCTGTCTGAACTCTTGGGTGCCGATGGGTCCCATCGACCTTGGTTCAGGTATCCACACTCTAGCACACACCTGTATAGAAAGTCACACTGATTGTCAGGACCAGTGCCTAATTTGTAAATTATGAGGTCCCGGAATATCACTCGGTGATGGACCCAGCATGTGAATCTGGGGAGAGGAGGTCCTGGAATGAAAAAATGTCCACAGCGACTAGTGTGTTTGTAATGGTTTCCACCTTAAGGGAGCAACTTGGAGGCAAAACATTATTTGTCATGTGTTTGTAGCAACCAATAAATTACATACACATTACATGTTACAAGTGTTGAACGTGAGTGATGCTAAATAAGTTAGGACTCCAAGGATTGGCCTGTCTAGCTTCTGGTTTCTAACTAGCTCTGCCCTGCTGAAATTCTTCAGCAAATTTACCTGTCTTTTTCTCGTTTTGACTCTGTGGCTAACATAACGTTACACTGAATGTGCACCTGACCCAGTGTCACCTGTGTGAACTGGTTATGTTGTGACATAATTAGCCTAACTTCCTGTTTTTATTGTACTTAATTATTCTTTTTTAGTCTAATATGCTGTTGTAAAAGGCTAGTAGTCATACCAAGACGTATTACACCTTGGACGTTTTATGTATTATTCATATATTCACTTTCTTTCATATGTAAATGAGGTGGGGGTCTATCAAAATAGGTGCCAGTCATGGATCCGGCTTGTTCTGGCACAAATTAACCCCTGGTCAGGACTGTGGTGAAACTGTGATAAGGCTGAGTTCAAGGTTAAGCGTATAAAACCGTGTCTGAAACTGTGAGTGCTGCCAGGGGCACAGAGACCTCAACAACTGTAAGAAAATGTTTGGAAAAAGTCAAGTGAACACTGTTGTGGCAACAGGTTTCCTCTTTGTCAGTCCCATAAAACATATTCACTCTTGTGCTTAATGTTATGTGTCAGCACCCACTGCATCTATTTTATCAGCATGCCAGTAGGTCGTCTATCTAATGTTTGCATTGCCATATCAGGAGCTAAGCTAACAAGGAGCCTGGCTTGTGGACCTGCTGTGGCCACACTGTCTCCTGTTGACTGGCTGAAATCACTGCCTTGTGTCTGAGCAAAATGAAAATGCTAATGAAAACATGGTAAGCTTGTAGTTATTGTTTCATTGGAACTGAAGTCTAAAACAACTTAATGTGGAGTAGTCCCACTCGCTATCAACCCCACAACAGACATACAGAAAGAGGCACAATACAACACTGACACAGGAGTTTTACTACAACTGAGAATTGTGCAACATCTCCAGCAAATACAGATGTTTTACATGTAATCACAGTAAATGTGTGGGCTGCGTATATGTACAGTAGGCGCACACATACACATATGTGGATGCATGCATGAGTACACACACACACACACACACACACACACACACCTCCACCCGTCCTCTGTCCCACACACAGCTCACATTCGGAATGCCAACCTTGACTTGTTCAGATTTTTGATTACAAAGCAAACAGGCTTAGGAACGAACAGTTGGGCCTCTGAGAAACAGCGCTCAGTTTATTACAGAGATTAAAAGCTGCCTTTCTGCTCCTTATGAGACTGAATTGCACAGATGATTCCTCACAATAATTTGATGTTTCTTCAGAACAGTCATTGCAGCAAGGTTCCAAGCAGATGTATTTATTTCAGGAATATGTTTGTACCTGGGGGGGCTACACTGTAAATGGGAAGACTTGTGATCCTGCCCAAAAGTCACGATATTTTGACACCCCCTGCCTTTTTAAAAAGTCATCATCATTAAAAAGGAAGCCATTAGTTTCTCTGCGCCAAGTTAATGTTGGGTGGTTAGGGAATAAACAGAACTAGATTTAATGTTTACACTGTTGTGTCTGTCTTTTGTTCTGTCAGATGTTGCAGGAGGTAGTAGCTAAAACACTCAACCACCACGGGATCACTGCCGAGCACGAGCGCTTTGAGGCCTGCAGCAAGAGACTGTTTGATATCTCCAAATTCTATCTCAAGGTTAGTCTGCTTATGCCGTCAGCACCATCCTCTTTTCTTTGACAGTTTGTTGATTTGTATGCATCCTGGAATTTTAACCATATGTTTAGTTTTGTAATATTATACATCCTTGCAACAAATTGTCCCAATAATAGGAACAGACAGACATCTGATTTCTCTTGTGCCTCCTTGTAATTCCTAATCAGGAGTTTTTGTGTGTTAAAATATAAACTGCCCTAGCTTTTCACCACTGTGCTCCCTTATTTCAGTAAAAGCAACACTGCAATGTAAACATATTCTTTCAGGAAATGTGCATGTATTATTGGCAAAATGTATTCTAATTATCAACAGTAGAAGTATTTGTTATGCAAGTTGAGCTATTTCAGTGTTATTATACTGTACATATTGATAATTATCATTTGATGAACTAGCATATAAGTGGTATTGTGATGTAACCAAACAAGTAGGGCAAATTTTAACTAATAACTTGTTGTTTGGTAGTGTAGGAGCTATTTATTATTTGTTTTGAGTATTCAATTAAACTGTATGTAGTTGTTGACTGTATTTTTTGCCACAGTAGTTCTTTGTTTTATTTTGGAAGAATTGGGCAGCACCACATAGGACCCGCCTTCATCTGGCAGGAGGGTCAGCGGTGGTTTGCTTGTCAAGGATAACACAAAGACCTCTGTGTGACTTCTTTTCCCTGCACACAACTCATTCTAATGGTGCATCAGTGGCCTGTTGGTTTCAGGTTTATTTAATCTAGATTATGGACAAATAATTAAGCCTTCCTAGCTACATGTTGTTTAGTTTATTACAATATTGCACATCAGTATGTCATTAAATCATGTTTTGTTTGTAACATATGAAAAAGTAGCTACAAACTACAACTGTCAGATAAATGTAGTGGAGTTCAAAGTGCAATATTTCCCACTGACGTAGTGGAGTAGAAGGATAACGTAGCAAAAAATAAAAACACACAAGTACCTCAAAACTGTGTGAAAGTACAGTGGGTAAGTAAATGCAGTTACTTTTCACCACTGCTTGCTACTGCACATTTTGTCTCTACTCTGTTCTAACTAAATCATCTTCTCTGTTAAAATGAGTTCAGCTGTGGCCTACAACTTTCAGTTTTATGATGTGAGTATTTTTGCTGTGTCAGTGTGAGCCAACTTCCTCCTCTGTTATTTTATCCCAGGACCTGACGACGTCTCGGGGTCTGCATGACGAGATGAAGAAGGCAGCTAGCAGCAACGTTAAACAGGTAACGACAGCTGACATAGTCCTTCAGCTGGGCTTGTTTGTTCTGAATCTAAACATTTTAAAGTCACATTTTAAAAATCATTTCCCGATTTTGTAGGTCATTGACTGGGTGTTGGAGAAAACCTCAAGGAAGTGAAAGCAGACGTTTTGATGTATTATGTATACATATGTTGCAGTAACCTTGGACTTAATGCTTTATTTAATTTGCTTCAGTGAGAAGATCATACAGGTGTCCACGATTTTTTATTTCTTAGTTTATACTGATTTTTAGCATATTTTTTTGTGTGTGATTGTGTGCTCATTATTTCTGGTATATACGTCCACTGCTCCAGGGCCTTGTAACAGAAAAACACTTGGACATACTGGAGTACACTCTGCTCTGGCTGCAGTCACTGAGAATCCACAGGCACCTAGATGTTGGCTTCAGGTTGAAGTTTTCTTTGCTTTTTAGCAGATTTCAATTTTCACATCATTTCCATCTTGTTCATCTTGTTTCTAAGCACAGTAATCTTATGGTTTTATAGTTGTACATTTTATATCTTTGTATTTAATATTTTACTCAATAAATGCATTTAATCTTATCTTGTTTCTATGGGAAAGTGCATTTGTGTGTTTAGAGAAATCATATGAGTTTGTGTCATTGTTTGTGTGTTGTGTCTGAGAAATATGTATTACATTGTCAGCCCTGACAGCTAACAAACAAAGCTACAGTACAAGCAATGCAGCACTGATCATCACTGACAGTCAGATTTGTCCTGCTTGTGCGAATTTGTCCTCGATGCAGACTCATCTGGACCTGCTGAGAATTCTTCATTCCCATGATGAGATTCAACACTTTTGCTACTGGCATCATGTTGGCTTTTCTCCAAGAGGAGCTGGCTACATGTTTCACCAATTAAAAAATTCTCTCCTATGCCAAGTAGACAGAGAGCAGTCTGGGGTTTTTGTGACACTAAATAACAGGACTGTTTTATGAACAGGAAGAACTTGTGTTTTGGTCTTTACTATGAATTATAATGTGCTTTATTTTACAGGGCTAAGTTCTTAATGTCAGTTTCTTAGGAGTTTTTCTGGAAAGAACAATGGTATTTGTAATTTGGTATTCATTTCAGGGGAAATTGACTTTTCTTAATAGAACTGCTCTATATAATTATTGTAAGTGTACCAACTAAACTGTTTTTCCTAAATTTAGTATCAAATTACATTTTTTTTTTCCTAAGAAACAATGGAAAACAGTAGATACTCTCATTTAGGTTGCTATCATAATGTTTGTAAGTTAAATGGAATTTTCAAAGTACTGTGAAAACCAGTTTATATTTATAGTAGTGTTAAGGTCAGTGCTGCTATTGCTCATGTAAACAAGAATGCATCAGTGTTGAACATCTGTTGGTTTCTGGTCAGGTGATAGTTGAGATTTGACAGACTATCAAAATATAGTTTTGTTTTGTTTTTTTTAGCAGAGATACTCATTCAACATGTATTAAAGGTCATGTAACCAGCATAACCGGTGTGTATGTTGTAGGTGGGGATACACCAAGTGTGTGTCTGTGTGGGAGCACCACTGAGCATCAGGGTGCAAACTAAAAGCATTGCCTGGTTGTTTCATGGTTGACCAGCAGATTAGATAATATAGTTTACATTGTACCTCATGCATCTGCATCACACACAAAGACTGTGGTAGAAAATGACCTGAAAAGGAAAACTCTTTGTGGCGGTGCACTAGTCCTTGGTCTAAAGTGATAAGAGTAACCTAGCCTAGTTTCCTTGTATAGAGACTAAAGCACTTTAAAATTTTGCCTTTGTGTTAATAGGCCTAAAAGACTATATCAGATATGCATCGATTTCAAAGGATGGGGAAAAACTCAAAAATGGACACCCTAAATTTGCAGGATGTAATATATTGTGTGGCTGTAGCAGACGTAGTTTTTTTTTGGTTTTCATTTCAGGACCCTAAAAGATTTACAGACATGTTCTGTGGGCTCATTACATGAAGGCAGCAAAGATGAAATGAGATGGCCATCTGTTGTCACTGCTGCTTTTTGCAAGATGTAAAATAAATGCCATTAACGGCCACGGGAGGTTCTTGTTCCAGGGAATTGAGGGTTGTGTTTTGACTCACAGAGGGATGACAAAATGAAAGTAAAGCTGAAAGATAGGCAGCAAACTAAACAAGGACAAGAGGTCTTCTATTTCTAGATAGTTTCTTTATGAAGACTCAAGATATAAACTGTACTACTGTCATTTTTAAAAACAAACTTATTGTACAGTAAGTACTTGAATTGAATGGACTGTAACATTATGAGACTTGGACAGGCACAGATACTTATTGTGATAGCCCTTTGTTTATCACATGTGTAAAGTTAGTAGTGCTGCTATTATTTATCTTAATGTATTAAGCTGTACTTTTATTATTGAAATACAACACTCCTGATTTCATTTAACACTTTTCTTTCCCATTCAAAGTTGCACCAATCGGGTCTCCCATTTTGGTCACTGGGCTGTGTCATGGTGGCCATGATTGGGACCTTCTGGGTCTGCCACCAGATCATGTAATTAATGTCCGGACGAATTCAGAGAGAGAAAATATATATATATATATATATATACAGTATATATATGTATATATGTATACACTGTATATATGTATATATCCTGTGACATCATTGTAAAAGGTGCAGGCCACTATAAAGGAAGAAAAACACATCCAGAAGTATATACTGACTTTATACAGCCTTCACCAGCTAGTTGCTAACTTTGTCTGCCATTTGTTGATAGGCAGGCAGCTTTTCACTGAAAACAGTGTCCAGTTATGGTTGGAAAATAAACTGATGAAAGCACTAAACATTCAAGTTGTGAGCTGTAAAACCAAAACAATAAGCCTGAGCGATGCCATTGTTAAACCCTCTATAAAGTCGAGGGGAACTGTGGAGTTGGTGATAATTTTATGTGGATTTATTGCTACAAACAACACTTTCATTTGATCTGCTGTTAATAAGAAGACATTGATTAGTTATACTTTAAAGACATAACTAATATACTGTATGTCCTTCTATCTCTCTATTCTTTAAACATTTTCTTTGTAATCTTACCCTGTTTCTCCTGTATGTGCATGTGACACCTCTCTTTGTGTCAGATCAAACATGGCCTCTTTAAGGTTTTATCTGAGGTTTGTTGACTTTTGTGGTCTGTGCTGCTCCCACTTGTCATTAGCATACATAATACAACTGTAATATAGAAAGAAATCATAAAATAGAGCAGAACACATTTCTTTGGGGTACGTCACGTGATAAAGCCCTAGAATTGACCCTACACAGGGTCCTGGTTTTGCTTTGTCAGATAGTATCCTGTCACAAGCACACAGGTCCTCTGCTGATCAAATATTTTTGTAATGACACAATGTTCTTGTGCTGTTTGAACCTAACAAAACAGTCATGGTTGACGGTTTGTTATCTATGGGATTCATTCACATGAGCAAGAAAGAGAAGCATGCACACGCTTATTACACATTTATCCCCGTCTGTACTCAGGTTCACGGGGCAGAGCAGAACAGTTTCCCAACATATGTGTGAGAGAGAGAAGGGGGTGCATTCAGGGGTACTGTAGGGACTTGGCAGTGGCATCCTGACACATTCCAATTTCTCACACACATTCACTCCTTGTTCACCCCACATCTCTTTTATCATGGGTTTTACCTACTGTTGCTTGGAGTTTTTGTGTGATGGAAAGAAAATAAATGAGGGGAGATACAGTATTTCCCCTTTGCTGCCAAATACAGTGAAAGACTAGCTTATGTACAGTCAGTGGGAGTACACAGTTTCATGATTTGAGACTGCTAATGTGTATAGGTTATGTGTGGGTGGTTGTTTTTGAGAGTAACAGCTTGAAGAACAGGCTTTATTCAGTGAGAGGGTCATGGCAGCGGCACCTCACAAACATCCCTCCGTCTGTCTTCTAGTGCTGTAAGGTGGCATGCCCTCCTGTATGTTTGCATACAGTTTATATGTTTCTGAGAGTTACTCGTCATCTTCTTGCTTATTAACTGATTTATGAGTGATTGACTTATTAATTAACAGACTTATTCATTTTATATAGTGTGCTTTTGTCTCGTAGATTCATTGTAAATGTTTTCATCTGGTCTCATAACACACCAAAGACCAGTTGTGCCTAGCTTAGATATTACATTTGACATATACTGTAGCATGGTCCCTGGCCGCTTTGGATACACTTAAAACTAGTCATCACCCTTACAAAAGGTTAAATGAAGTAAAAATGCCCATAGGCCTATTTTCATAATTTAAGATGAAATGTGTGTACATCAGTGGAGACATTTTGAGCATTAAATACAGTAGGTCCCAAGAGAGTGCTATTCTGGACAGCAACTTCAGCCAGTGTTGTGTCAGTACTGTTGATGTTTCAACAACAAGAAGAACAAAAAGAATCTCTTTTTTTTTTCAAAATACACACAGTTGTACCAATTCCTAGGAGGTAATGCCAGAGGTTTTTTTCCAGCTTGTTGAGTCTTTCTGCCCAGCATGGTTAAACAACAGACAAAAGCAGCCAAGCCAGCTTTAGACATATAAAGGCAGGTTTGTGTCTATAGATCGTGCTGGCACAACCTGACTTTTAGCAGGTTTGCTAGGTGGCAATGTTTTGTACACAAGTGATTTTTAAAGGAAGCAGAGGGTTAACAAGAAAGAGAGAGAGGGTTGGACCTCCAGCTTTTGACCAAAGTTTTCAGAGAATTGCTACAAGGATACAGTTGGCTTTATAAGTTTATCAATAATGGGACAGAGAGATAATGCTTTTGCTAAAATTAGCTTTCTGATGAGCTGCATAAAATCCTAGGAAGATGTCTCAGGGAGTTTTGAGAGTGAATTATGAGGTGGTTAGATTATCGCCTAAATATAAATCTGCATAAACCCTGTAAAGTGAGGTACAGTCAAATAAGCTAACATTAGCAATGTAGTATTAGACTGAGCCTAGTACAAAGACAGTGTAAAGTCCGAGTGAGCCTGTGTGAGACAGCAGCATATAATCCAGAGTATTCACACAAATGATTCTGATCCCAAAAATCTACCATCATTCGTCAATTGTATAAAACAAACTTAGGAACCTTCTTTGCCCTGTATTTAACTTTCCATGTCAGTAGAACCCAGCAGTACGCTAATTACTATAGTAACTGCATGTTAAGGAAAAGTTGGACATTGTGGAAAATATGATTCTTTGCTATCTAGCAAATAATTAAATGAAAAGATCAATAGCACTCTCATCTGTCCATTAAATATAAGGCTACTCTCAGCAGATGCTGCTTTGTACAGAGACAGGGTCCTGTTTCCCTCCATTTTTAGGGTTAGTAAAAGGTAAAACTAGCCAGATGCTAGACAGATGTGAGCGTGATAGTGATCTTCTCTCTAGCTCTATGCCAGAATAAGCATATTTCCCAAAATATCTTAACTGTTCCTTTAATACACAGCATATGTGGAATCCATTTAAGACTGTGAAGAAATGGCATTTTAAATAATTACAGGGATAGGAATGTACATTACACACAAACAAGCTCTTGCTTCTTCTTGTTTTGTATTTTAAGGTTTAACCCTGAAGTTAATCTGCCTCATACTGCATCTACCTATAGCCACTCTAAACTCAACCCAAATGTTTTCAAGAATGGCTGGCTGCAAGAACTCATTCCCAGCTGACATTGGAGAAGAGAGGGGGAATATGGTAGGGTCCAAAGTAAAATATTATAAAAAAATAATAAGGATCAAGTAAAGTTACACTTATCTGTACCTATGCACATCACTCATTTTCCAACTTTGTAGGATCATTACTGTAAAGAAAGGCAATGCCTGAACCAAAAACTGATTTTTGAGCAATTAACATTTGGAAAATAGACTAATCGTTCCAACAAATCATTGTTTAGTAGGTGTTCGGCTTGTTGGAGCCATTTCAGCACAGCCTAATGATTTGCTGACCACTTTTTCCCACTTTTTTCCCCATTTTGCTCACCCTGGTCACCCATTACCTACACAATTTTGATTCTGTCTCACACATACACACGCAGTAGAATGGGTCACACACTGAAATGCAACCACGTCAACACACAGCAGACACAGAAGCAGTCCAGAACTTGTGAGGACCTGCCATGTGAGGAATGCAACAAGAGACTGAGCCAAGAGAAACAGCGTTTATTTAGAGCCCCTTCTATCTCGCTCTACATGTGTGCGCACACACACACACACACACACACACACACACACACACACACAAACACACACAAACCAAAAACTAAATTTAGCAGAATGCATTTGCATTTCACTGAGAGAAGTATCTCCTGTGTACACACCTCTGGACATTTATTAGCCCACGCATAACAGACACATTTTATAGTTAATTGCTGATCGATCTTGCTCTTTTCCAGCCCCTTAAAATGGAAATCTGACAGTTTTTCAGTCAATATGGCATATATCACTCTCTCAACTGTCCCTGAGTTAAGAAGGCTGAGAAAGCTGGCATGTGTTCTTCCAGACCTGTTAAAATTCTGTACTGACAGAAATTCTGTGTGTGTATAACATACTTGGCCAAATAATGTGATTATTATTATTATCATTGTAATTATCAGTTGACACATTCATAGTCTTGGGCGACCAACACAGCTTTCTGTCTGTCTCTGCAGAGAGAATTTGTTGTGTTTTACTTTTCTGCAATAGTTGCTAATTGCAGACATTTAATGTCCCACTGAGAGTCTGGCGATTCAATAAAGGCGTAAACAGATGAGAAACACCAACAAACACAAAGAGGTGGGAAAAGGTAGGAAAATCTGCCGTTAAACATTGTCAGCTATTAAATAATGTGAAGAGCTAGGCCTGTTTGAGGTCTAAACTCTTACCATATATACCATGAATGCCCATCAATTTGTGCATCTGTTTGTATGTGTGGGAGGCAGAGAGAGAGAAAACGCTAGCCCACTACCGAGGAGCCAAGTAAACAAGAGTTACGATTGTGTTAAGCGCTGTCTGCAACTCAATTACTCTCAGGCTCTTCTGTTAAAAACACTTGAATTCTTTCTGCTGAGCTGGACAATAAAACACCTCCCAAATCAAGCTGAAATGTCACTAATGAGCTGTAAATTAGTTCACCACCTTTTATCTTAGCTGCCCCTGAATATTGCCTGTTTTTTTTTTGTTGCACTGCAGAAAACGCATGTTTATAGCAGGGTTGATTCAATTCAAACTGAAAGTGGAAGAAGGAAATAGTCTGATATCAGACTAATGATATATTAAAAAAAAGGTTAAGAACCAGTACAACTGCCAAACAAACTGCAGATGTTATTAAATTTTAATATGATTGAAGTGCAAGTGAAACTCTCCTCAGCCCACATCTTCCAGGCTGCTTCAAGTTGATTTGCTGTTAAGAAATTAATAAATCATAAGTGAAGACTAAAAACAGACATTAAATCAGTTTTGTTAAATACATGATTTATGTGCACCATCTGAGTTAAAAACAAACCTTTACCTTTCTGAGTGACAGTACAGTAGCTGCACAAAGGCAACAGAGTATTTGGCGTGTCAAAGCAGCTCTACTTGAGGTTCTCAATTCTTCCTGTATTACAATACCTCCACTGTTTTTAATGCAAACAAATTATGTTCCTTCTACATTGTGGTTTAATGACATCGTGTAAAACATTTTTTCACAGTTTCTGTGTAGACAGTTATTGTGTGTTATGACAGCGTAAAGAGAGAAAACCTAAAATTACTGTGGAGTGAGCTTTTCTGCATTACAGAAGTCACATTGTTGTTTCACAGTCATCTTGTGATCTCTATCTTTAGTTTCTTCCACAGTTTAAATGTTTATTTTCTTATGAGTCATTTCAAGGCACAAGTAATGATCTGGCAGCCAGCCATATCAAAGCCAGTGTAGTAGCCAGATTTGATACGGTCCATATCATCAAAAAAATAAAAAAAAATGGCTGTTGCACAACTAAAGCATGACCGAAGACTCCTGTGATGGCTACCTTGTTATAGTATATATACAGTATCTCTCTCTCTCTCTCTAGCTTGTCAGTTACCCAGGCAAACATGATCTAAAAAGATGATCTTGAAAGAGTAGCTATAAAGACTTTTGTTGGTCAGGCTTATAGTCATAAACAGTCCATCCTGAAATGAAGAAGGAAAAAGGAAGGAACAGCATCATCCTGTTTGATCAGTCTGGAAAGTCTTAGAAGAACACAGTAGTTTGGCCTTATGGGAAATACTTTTTTGCCATCTTGCAGAGACTTTGGGAAGACTGATACTGCTCTCATAATCTGCATATTACATATAAGGCTACAGCCAGTGGCTGGGTTTTTTTTTGCTTAAAGACTGGAAATAGGGAAATATGTAGGGAGGCTGACTTTGCTAACCAGAGCCACCTATCAGCACCTCTAAAGCTCAATAATTAACAGTGACAGTCTTTATGCTAAGATAGGAGAACTACTAGTATTTTGTGGTCAGATAGTATTTTTAAACTGATGTTTCCAAGCATAACAATAAACTTTGAGAGAGAGAAAGATTGATTCAGAATATCATATTATGTTAAGTTTCAGATTCATCTGTTTACAGGTTAGCCGTTTCTCTGGAAACAACTAATCTGGCTCTGTCCAAAGGTAACAAAACCCACCTAAAGCTACAGATTAAACAAACAAGATAAACTTTGTTAATAAAGACCATTTTGAGGTGCTGGTACTGTATGTAGATTTTATTATATTTGGACAGACCCAGGTTTGCCCCTTTTGCCAGTCTTTAAGCTAAGATAAGATAATCATCTTTTTTATGCTAATCAGCTACTGGCTGTAGCATCATGGGTAACATGCATTTACTCTTGGCAAAAAATAAGTGCATTACTCTACTGCTTTAAATTATCTGGTCAAAATGTGTCTACCAAACTATTTTGATTATTAATTCATTGTTATGTTACTACTCTTAAGAGTAGCCTAAATTAGTCATATGCATTTTTATATCCTTAAGATAAATTTCCATTCATACAGCATGTAACACTACTATTACTGTGGAAACTGACATGTATCAAAAACCACAGCCATCAAATGTCATCTTGTTCCCCAGTGTTAGGGACAAAATCACCATAGCAGCCTAAATCTTGAGTTTTTCACAAGTTGGATTTGGGGGGGGGGCTTGTTCCCGTTTTTGAATGATAAATGTAACAGGATTCAGATGTGTCAAAAGGAAAACTGAATGGTTGAGTTTAGTGACGACAATGTCAAATTAGTCAGGCTGAAATACTCTGACTACCAGATGTTCAAACCTAACCTGACCACTTATACAAGCTGTTAAAAGAATAATATGACATTTAGAATCTGAGTTAACAATGTGGGAAACATATGGCTGATTGTGCCTCCCAGTTCCAATAATGAAGGCTGACACTGCTAAAAAGACATCTCAAGGGACTGTAATAAAGAACAATGCATCAAGTCTTTCCACAGTGTGTTGAGCGGTTGTAGAAGAAAAATAAGTAATATTCAGAATGTCCTTTCAGAGCTTATGGTGGATAAATCATATTGGTGCTAAATGGAAGGCCATTACATTATGACACTTGACCTTAGCGGACACGCAAAGCATGAATAACCTCAAAGACTGCGTATGGAAACCATCGGTGTGGGCGGGCAGAAGGAAGAGCCGCAATTTGAAGTATGAATTTGAACGCGTGCACGTAACATGTGCATGTTCTCGCGCACACGAAGTTATGCGCGAAGCATACCTGTCCCTTAATGCGGTACTTCAGTCAACACTGCAGCCCTTAAAGGCAGGGTTTATCCCGAAAACATCTGTGTTAAGAGCATCTTTCACTCAACACAAAGCCAATCTGGGCTGCTTTCTCCAGAGTTTCTTTAACTTTGAGATGGACACCCAAAGAATGCCAGTTTCCAGAGAGAGGCTACATTCACTCAGTTTGGGTCCCTGACTGAAGGAGATGTGGAGACGTGGTGTACTGCATGCAGGCTGCAGATTGGTGGAGAAACGAGGTGAATTTCTGTTTTCAAAGCATCAGAAATGTCTCCATGGGGAGGCTGTCAGGCCACCAGACCCAGGCGGGAGATCTTAGCAGAGAGGAAGGAGTGGAGGATGAAGACAATTGGTTTAGGGCATGAGTGGAGGTCCAGTTGCTAAAGGGAGAGGGGAGAACAGTACAATTAAAAAAGTTGAACAAGACAGTGTAATGCATAATGGATGAAGAGGAGAAAATGTGGTTAAAAGATGTGAGAATTCATTAAGGCGGTAGGGATGACAGAGAGGAGGAGGTGGGGAGGAGAGGAAAGAAAGTGAGTTTATAAAGCACATAAGACATATATTCACAACTAACCCTACAGTCAACAGTTCCCCATGAGGCAAGGATCAGACAGTTATAAATGAAGCTACACGTACACACACACATACCACAAAGCTCTGCTCATAACCTCAATCAGCAGCAGCTGATCTCATCTGTGCTGTTACTCATATCCTAATTCTAAGGCCTATAGAGAGATTTAACCTGTACAGTCACTTAAACCTCTGTTTACACAGTCAAATTGAGGAAGCTTTAGAGGCTACCTCATTTCCAGCAAACAAAGTGCAATGAAACATGAGTTGGGTTTAAGGGTTTATTTTAAGTTGCTTTTGGTGGGGCTGTTAAAATAAATTTGGGTACCTGCTCTCGTGTTTCCTGGACTGTTGTTAGATAAAATTGTAGTGCACCCGTATTTGCGATAAAAGGTGGTCTGTGCAGGCTTTAACACAAACACAATTTGGCAATTTTGGATAAAAATTAGCTCAAAAATTGCACTGCGTGGCCTAATCTGCATAAACATGCAGTTGCCCCTCTCGTCTCACCTCAGCGTAAGCATATTCATTCACAGCAGAAAAATACCAAACACACCAACATGCAAAGAAAAAAACTTGCACTAAAGGAAAATTACATAAAGATTGTGTTTGAATACATGCTGGGTTTGCGCTAGCAGGAAAATAATGCCTTTATCTTGCCCTTTTCTTTGATTTCTGATCAACTGGAGCAGAAATGTATGTGCATTTTTTTGTTTTCCAAGCCAGAGTCAGGGTTTTTGGCTTCATAACACATTTTCTGTGTGGGTGGAATAAACTGTCAATTGCCGTGACAAAATTAGACATGCATACTTTCTGCCAAGTAATAGTCAACACTGTGAAAAAAGACCTACCTGATTTCATGTTTAAATGTTGAGCTAATGAGCCAACAGCCACATCCACAAGTGCCTTGGGATTTTTATAAAGCTTTGTGTGTGACTGTGTTGGGATTCAGAAATGGTACAGACAGCAAAATCTGTTCTGCTAAGGTAGCCAGCAAAGCTCTTAAGTCTGCTTATTTGCCTTCAGCATAAACTGAGCAGTCAAACATGAGTGCATCTGACAGAAGCTTTATACAGAGCTGTATGTGGACTGTTACACAGACATATCAAGGTGTTGATATAAAATGTCTCAGTTTCCAATTTCTAAATCTACTCCTAGATGGTTTTTACACTGTCACTTTATTTTCCAACATGCAGTACATCAGAGAGGCCTGTAGATGATGAAACATTAATTTTATTTTTATTTTCTGAGTAAAAACCATTGACTCTATATATGATGGACAGTCTGACAGTCCCAGAAGTGAAGCCACCGCAACTCATCTCCCCCTGGTGGCTGGTTGCACTATCGGTCAGAAATTTCACATTAAAAACTCAAAGAACTAATCAAATACATTATTCCCAGAGGTAATTTTTGGTAGATATTATCACACTGATGGTCATTTTTCTGGTAAGTCTGTTTTTAGTAGGTTATCTGATCATATAAAAAAAAAGGGTTGGATGATTTGACAGCTTTGACTGGTGGTCTGATGCTATCACCACTTCTGGTCACTACTGCACAGAATCTGGATGCTGAAAAGCAAGATGGCAGCCACCATCCTTCAATATTTTGGCTTCACTTTTGCATAGTGGACGTCACTTCCATTGTACATACAGTCAGAGGTAAAAATGGTTTGTATTTGTGTCAGGGGGAAGGAAAATAAAGAGCTAATGAGCTAACGGCTGGCATTGTTCACAGAAACATGTGCCGAGTATGGGCTAGACTCCTCAGAAGGTCATGGAGAATAAAATAAAATCAAATAAAATCTAAGAGGCTAAAAATGGAAACTTTTCAGATAGAAGTAACAAACAGGTTGAGTCATGGAAGTGTTTGTGCTTGGTTATTTTCAGGTATAAACATGAATTGAGCCTGATTACTTTAAGGGTTATTGTTGGAATACGAACCACATGCACTTCCACACAGTGAGCTCTTTAATGGTGTAAACAGAGTTGAACCCTTACAGTAAGTGACAGGCTATTTTTAAAGAAACCACCATGTTTGAGCCCTGGGACCTGCGTATGTGTGGAGTTCATTTTATTCCAGAAGTTCTTTTATGCTGTAATTTTCTTTGTGCAGTACCACTTTCCCTCTGTCTACCTCCTACTGCATGCATGTACTCCAGTTTCGATTTTGCCTTATGTCCCAGAAGGCCTTCTGAAAACCCCTGAGAGTGGGTATGAACTTGTTCCATTTACTATGAATGGCAGATGACCACAGCAAAGTAATATTGATATTGGATGTTGTTTTTTTCCATCAGTATCATTTTTGAAGCAAAAACTTGACAGCTCAGTTAACTGTGTCTTTCTAAAAGGAAGAGAATAAATGGGAAATTATTAATTGAAATTATTTGAGCTGTGTTCATTAATCAGGAAATAATTGTCTAAGATGTTAGTGGTGTCACTGCACATTAGCATACAATAGCATGCTGTGCCTTATACTCCAGCCACTGTTGTCCTCTTTGCTAATACAAAATGGAGAAAACTAGTGAGCAATGCTGAACAGATGATCATGACACCAAACCATCTGAGAAGTACTATGTGGAAACCTTTTTGGATTTGACACCACATATGGAAAAAGTAATGGATAATGGT